ATGCCTACACACTCGGTTGTAACTGATCTTTTGATTTGTCGATGGTCAGTGGGAGATGGGGGGGGGGGAGGTGCATGTATGGCATTAAACATGCAGCTCCAAGTGTCGCCTTGTGAGCAATTGCATGTCAACACACCTGATTGCAACTAACGTTTTTGTTTTGTTGGTGGGCAAAGGGATAGGGGGAGCGCGGTTGCATGCCCGACACTAGGCTTGCAACTACAAGTGTCGTCCTTACTGTAATTGGCGTTGTGTTTTTGCCGTTGTGTTTTTGTTTTGTCGTCACTACAACTGCACATCTCTCCTCCCTACTGTAATTGGCGTTGTGTTTTTGCCGGAGCCTGGCAGAAGAGTAGGGGGGCAATTGCATGCCCGGAAGTAGGCTTGCAACTTCAGGTGTCTCCCTCCACTGCAATTTGCATGCCTCCCTCCCGATTGCAAATGGCCTTCTATTTTTTTGGAGGGCGATGGGAGAGGGGAGCGAAGTTGCAAGTCTGGCGATAGGCTTGCAACTGTAAGTGTCGCACTCGACTGTGACTGCATGCCTACACACCCAATTGCGACTAACCTTGTTGTTTTGTTGGTGGGCGACATGAGAGATGGTAGTTGCATGTCTGACACGAGGGTTGCAACTGCAAGTGTCGCCCTAGACTGCAATTGCATGCCTACATGCCCAACTGCAACCAACCTTTTTTTGGTCGGTGGGTGGCAAGAAAGGGGGAGGGTAGTTGCATGCCCAACACTAGGCTTGCAACTGCAAGTGTCACCCTCAACTGCAACTGCATGCCTACATACCCGATTGTAACTGATCTTTTGCTTTGTCGATGGTCGATGGTAGACGCGGGGGGAGGGGGTTGTAGGTCTGGCACTAGGCCTGCAACTACAAGTGTCGCCATGTCTACAATTGCATGTCGACACACCTGACTACATTGACATTTTCTTTTTGTTGGTGGATAGCAGGAGAGGGGAGCAGTTGCATGCCCAACACTAAGCTTGCAACTGCAAGTGTCGTCCTCATCTGCAATTACATGTCTTCCTCCCGACTGCAACTCGCCTTGTGTTTTTGTTGGAGGTCGATGGGAGAGGAAGGGGTAGTTGCATGCTCAGCACTAGGCTTGCAACTACAAGTGTGGCCCTCGACTGCACACGCAACTCCAAGTGTCGTCCAAGATCACAACTACACGATGTAACATGAAACACAACTATAAAGGGTACAAACGCCTGCAGCTAGCCGCTCCCTACACTTTTATTATTTTTTTCAAATACACATTAAACATTTTTAATATATTTTTTACATTTTTAAAATATATGGCAGTTTTTTAAAATATTATTGAACAATTTACAATTACACAATGAATTTTTTAATACAGAATAAAAATTTAAAATACGGAAACACTTTTTTCTAAAATATCACGACAAATGTAAACAAGTGCTTCAAGAAAAAACACAAACAAAAGAAAAAAAGAAAAGGAAAAAAAGCAAAAACAAACAAAAGACTAGACTCACGAAATCATGCAAAGACCTAACGATACGCTAGTGGTGCGCTTCAAGAAGTAGCGCCCAGAAAAATCACAAGACAATAAAAAACCGGTGGCCAAAAGCACTTGTCATGTACATTTTTGTCTCTATCATGGGCCCATACTTTTTTGTTCAACACCCTTTTCCCTGTGTGTATAAAACAAACAAACAAGGAAATATCCGTGTCCAAATACACAAACAAAGAAAACAAATAAACAAGAGGGAACAAGAAAAGCCTAGAAATCAGGCTGATACAGCCCATCAGACGCCAAGTCAAGAAATAGGCCTAATCTACTTTAGATGATGTCAGCTGAGTGAGACTTCGCGAAGTCTAAGTCGACTGAGACCTAGACAGACCCTAAAAATTATTCGCTGCCACCGCCTGCGCTCTTTGTAGATGCCGCCGTGCGTCTTTCAGCTCCGCTCGTGAACTCACTGCTGCTGCATGTAGGCCTCTCTTCATGGCTCGTCGTTGTCCCATCTACTACAGCCCGCAGATGCAGAAGAAGGCCAAGCCGCCAGTTCTTGTGCAGCTCTGCCGCTTGGTTAGCCGCCGGCTACGCCGTGCTGCCGACCTCCTTTTTGGTCATGGCTGTTTAGCGGAGTTCATTTAGTGCAAGCTTTCTTATGCATGCTGATGGTAACACGCTGCTCTCTCGCCATGTGCATGGCTGTTCTTTGGCCAATCACTTTGCTGCATGCAACGACTAGCTTCGCTGACGTGTTTGCACTGTTAACGCTGCAATTGATTTTACGTCTCTGCGCCAAACAGGTCCTGTGTATTGCCAATACTACAAAATACTTTGCTTTGTCAAAACCATGGTATGTTATACCTACATGCTAAATTACTGTTGATATTTTGATTTTTATAATATTTTACTATCAAACACAGCCTTAACAACTAACACATAGTAAATTTACTACGCCCGTTCGCCTCCTTGTGCCTACTTCTTCTGCATCTCCAGGCTACCAAATTTGATGTAGAAAATCAACTGCAAAGTTCCTGCAAAGTTCCAACTTCCTTATTCAAAATCTATTTGGCCAGAATCTATCTAGCTCCTAGGCATGGTTCTTTTGATAAATATTTGTCATTTTTAACCTTTTACATATGTATACATGGTATATCATTGGACATAGTATAATGATATTCATCAAAGATATGTGTTAATGTTCTTAATTCTCTTCCTTCTAACTGGCATAATGTGAGAAAATGTGCATGGTTCAGAAAAGTGATTCTTCCTGGGAAACTTCTTACTCCATATCTAAAACCAACATCAGTGTTCCAATACACTGAGTATCATTTCTTACTTATATCATTCTGTGATGTAAGCTTTGCAATTACTATATGTCAGTACAATCTTCGTTTTGAACCATGTCCAGAAAAAATCCAACGCCTTGGATAGCTTAAACTTGAGTAAATCATTCACACGGGGTGCCTTGTATCTCTGGCTGGACATTTAATTAATCTGAGGTCCTTTCACAAAACAAAAAGGAGAGAGCAGCCATCGCCCATCGGTATTGAACACGGTAAGAGTTATATATACAGTAATTGTCATTGCAACATGGAGAAAGCTGAACATTACTATAAATTTGTATGGCGTTGTCGGACACATACCAGTGCAACGTGTCGAGGCGGCATGTCGAGCACACCACGGGCATGAAGCATGAAGGGGCCGCAGATCTACGACGGAGGAAAGTATTGATTCGGACC